TGTTCATTTGTTCTGTTTCTCAAATTCAGCATATGAGTAAAATCATCTGATATTCATCTTTCTCTGACTGACTTATTTCACTAAGCATTACACTCTAAAGGTCCTTCCATGTTGTTACCGACGGCAAGATTTCATTCTTTCTTATGGCCGAATAATATTCATTATCTATATACATATACCACATCTGCTTTATCTGAATGGGAAGAATCTTCTTTTCTTTTCTTTTCTTTTCTTTTCTTTTCTTTTCTTTTCTTTTCTTTTCTTCTTTCTTTTCTTTTCTTTCTTTTCTTTTCTTCTTTTCTTTCTTTTCTTTTCTTTCTTTTTTCTTTTCTTTTCTTTCTTTTCTTTTCTTTTTTTTTTTTCTTTATTTAATTTTATTTTTATATTTAATTATTCATAGAAACACAGAGAGAGAAAGAGAGAGGCAGAGACACAGGCAGAGGGAGAAGCAGATTCCATGCAGGGAGCCCGACGTGGGACTCGATCTGGGTCTCCAGGATCAATAAAACGCTAAACCGCTTGGCTACGGGGGCTGCCCTGAATGGGAAGAATTTTAAATGGTTAATGTGGGGAGGGTGGGCTATCAAATGGAGGGGACAGCTTGACCACAGGGAGGCACAAGGCACATCCCTTTGAAGAGACAGGGATTTGTGCTATTAGGACACACGTAAGCATGTAACTGGAAATAGGCCAACGACCAATAGGTACATTGGTCTTAATTGAAGAGGCCGTGGGATGCCAGTTTATTTTTACTTCTGTAGGTGATGGGGATTCTTCGAAAACATTTGAGTGGTGGAGTACTGCAAACCCAGCTTTGGTTTAGGATAATTAACCAGTGATGTTTAGATGAAAGACTGAGGTTGGGGGTGAGGACACAAATTGGCAGCTTTGTTAAATTCATGTCAAGGCTCTACTGGTGAGGGGACAATGGGGAAAATAGTAACCATATTAGGTATTTCAAATGGGGGAGATTTAACACGGCGGGGTTTTGCAATGCATTGGAAGGCTGAATGAACTAGAAAGGGAAGCTAGGGTTGCTGGAAGGATTTGAACTTTACCTGGAAATTTCTCTTATGCCATGTGAGGCTGGCACAAAGGTCTTACGTCAATGGGGTGGCAGCGATACTATATGGTAGTAAGAGGTCACAAAAATTGCTTATAAGATTTGGGAATGAATAGAAATAAAAGCTAGTGCTTGCATAGTTCCCACAATGAGGTATGCACTAATTGCTTCATATATATTAATGAATTTAATCCTCCACAACTGAATGAGGGAGGTAGTATTAGTATGTCATTTGACTGATTGGGAAAGGGAGTTGCAGGGGATCAAGTAGCTTGTGCACAGCTAGCCAGCTAGGAAGTGCCAGAGCTGGGGCGCACACACAGGCACCCCAGGGCCAGCACCCACACTCACTACCACAATACTCCATCCTCAGAGCATCAGCTATGCTTCTGATGGGGAAATGGTAGGATCATGAGAAGAAATGGGAGGGTCAAAGGAGGACTTTGGGGACTCTGGAGGGAAGGCTGTGAAGTCAACGGGCCACCATTTCTCCATCTCTTCCTATTGTTACCTCCCCGTGCAATCCAGAGGCCATGGGTAGGCCTTTAAATGAACCAACTTCCTTATCCCAGGTTAACCCAAGGGAAGGTGTGGAAAATAAATGTAGCTAAACGGGGGCTCTTCTGCTTCTTTAGAACGCATGAGCTTCTCAGTCTCAGCTTTACGGATTGATGAAATTTCCAGCAGGGCATGAAGGTCTGGGAAGATCACTGAGCAGTGGGGCAGGGCAGGAGAACAGAGTGGCTTTCCAGCTCTTTCTATGGCAGGTTCCCAGGTGTGTCAGTAATAGGAAAGTGAACGCAAAAGGGTGAACTGTCGACATTCAAGTAATTTCTTCACTCTGTTCAAACATCCTCCTCTCATGAGGGAGGGAACATGCTAATTATAATGGCTATTCACAGATGGTTGAGTTTTTCTTTCCTTTTCCTTCAAGTCCCACGTGTCGGACTTTATATGGAGAGTGTCGTTTAGGATGCAATGTCTATGAGCTGCTTGTAGTCTTTCCCTTTTAAAATTTGAGAGCCATCATTTCTATCTATTTAAGAACTGGGCTCTTGAGTAAACCCGAAGAAGTACGCTGAATTCTAAAATTCTAACATTATCGTTCTCTGGGAATAAAAATGGGGTAGGGACAGGGGAGCTTTGCAGTTGACCAAATGTTCTTTTTTTCACTTCCTTCTTGCCTTGGTGACAGAATGGTGAGAAAATTAGCTTTGGACAGCAGCTTTTAGTCAAGTCTTGTGGTGGTACCCCTTCCGGGATCGTTACACCTGCTCCATACAGATGCTTCTTCTTCCTGAGTGTAGTCATCACTGTGTGGAAGATGTAACCGGGATGAGGCTTGTGGGCTGGAGTTGGGTGGAAGCAACGTGGAAACTCCTTGGGATGGAGAATGTGGGTTACTTGGTCAGAGGGTGTTAGTCTGGTCATGTCATATTTCCTCTCCACATTTGCCTGGTATCGCAGGATTGTGTATGTGGATGTGGTAACCTAGCGATCGGTGTTTGGGACATGGATTGGTTAATTAGGCAAGATGGTTGGGAAGATCTTCCTCATTCAATGACCACATGAGTAGATGTGGGTGGTGTCGCTCCTCACCTGAAATAGAAGAGGTCGGATGGATGTATTTATGTGTGTTGAGTATATAGCATCTAAGTTGCTGCTACTCCCGTATGTACCAGAGGGGTGTGGGGACTGGCTGGGACCAGCTCATAAGGGCTGATTATTGCTGTTTTTTAAAAAGATCTTATTTATTTATTCATGAGAGACACAGAGAGAGAGGCAGAGACACAGGCAGAGGGAGAAGCAGGCTCCATGCAGGGAGCCTGAAGTGGGACTCGATCCCAGGACCCCGGGGTCACGATCTGAGCCCAAGGCAGATGCTCAGCCACAGAGACACCCAGGTGTCCATAAGGGCTGATTGTTAAATGTTCAGGAACTTTGTGAGCTGCTTTGGTAAATTTTGGTAGCTTGAAATCCACTGTGGTGGGGATATTTACACCACAGACATGGGCAAACAAACGAGGGCTTTCGTTTCCATCTTCCTGACAGTTTATAGCACTCTGCTGCCTGTGCCATGCTCGAGGTAGATGGTGTTGCTAATCCAAAAAGACCCTCTTTTTTTTTTTTTTTTTTGCTAAGCCCAGGTTTGGATTCAGAATCCCCAACACACTGCATCTGAGAGCAGCTACTGACAAATAGGACTGGGTACAAGAGCTGAGCAGTAATCACCATCCCATCCACAAAGGAGCTTTCATTATAGTGCCTGGTATTAGGTGATAGCATCCTACATCAAGGAAGGTTGCTTTGGGTTTGGCAGTTTTTTTTTTTTAAAGATTTATTTATTTATTTATTTGAGAGAGAGAGAGAGAACAGGGAAGAGGGAGAGAATCTCTAAGCAGACATGCCGCCAAGTGTGGAGCCCAACATAGGGCTGGATCTCACAACCCTGAGATCATGACCTGAGCTGAAACCAAGAGTTGGATGCTTGACTGACTGAGCCACCGAGGGCCCCCACTAGATCATTTTAATGATTTCTGACATTAAAAAAGTCAAAAACATCTTTCACAAGGAAACCACAATAATACTGAATTTTAGATCGAAGCTGATGATTAAAGTATAAGCAGAACCAGGTACTCGGCAACATCAGGAGTTTCTCTGTCATTTTCTCGATGTGTCTGTGCCACACAACCACACTTTCCATGCAATGAGATATTTACTGATTGATGAGTTCCATGAACACTCACCGAGGCTCTCTGGGTTCGTTGTCTCTTGCTCCACAAGTCACCTGGAAAACCCACGGGCTTAAAGCAACAATCAGCCCATCCTACTGCTCAGGATTTCTGTGGGTCAGGAAAAATCACCCAGGGAGGCCGGGCTGGCTGATTCTGACTCTGGTCAGAACGGCAGCCACACAACCCACTTCTGTGTCGAGAGGTTGGACTCACGTGCTGGGGGGCTGCAGGTGTTGGGGGTGGCTTGCCTAAAGGCAGGGGTCTTTTCTTCCCGGGGGGCTCACCCACGTGGCTAACAGGTTGGTTGGTGCCAACAAGATAGCTTCTTTCCACACCAGCCTCCCTGCAGAGTTGCTGGGGTGTCTTGAGGTCACAGTGGCTGACGTCCCCCAGCCCAATGCATGTCAGGGAATGCTGACTTCTCTGTTCGGGGCAGGGAGGCAGCACAACGGCCTTTACGCTGCTCTGTCCACTGCCCCTGGGATGCTTTCCCCCGGGTGTTGCACCACCAGCTTGGGCTCTTCACGATAAGCCTCTGATGAAAGGTAACATCTCTGCAAAGATTCTTCTCCTCCCAACCCCCCAATCTCTTCTTCCTTCCTCACCCAGAAACGTCTTTCTTCACAGCATCCGCCCCTGCGTGATATGACATCATACCACACACGTATCTGTTTGCTTTTCTCCCCTGTTAGAGTGAAAGCTTCATCAGGGTGAGGACTTCACGCACTTCTGGTGCTTAGACCAGCACCTGGGCGCGACCCCTCTGTGTGGGATGATGAACAGGGAAGCCTACTGGTCCTACAGCGTTAGAGAGACGTGGATCGGGGTTGTGGCTCTGCTGTTTGTTAGATCCGTGGGCAAGTTATTTACCTTCTGTGTGCTTCGATGTCCTCAGCTGGAAGATGAGATTGAAAACACCTACCTCTGGGGGTTGTTATAAAGATTTTAAAATAATATGACGTGTGTAGTACCTAACACTGCGCTGGCCCCCAGCGAGAGTCCGTGAGACGTTAGCTGCGGCGGGGACCATCGGTGTTGATGCTGTGACCAGGACAACACAGTCAAGCAGAGAGTGAAGGGCCACTCGACAGGGATGTCGCTGATGTGGATCGGTGATTAGCCTCACGGGAGCCTTTTCCAGGGTGACTTGCTGTGTCATCCCTCTTCGTTCTAATTTTTTTTTCTTTTCTTTTCTCCTGAAGGTCCTGAACAGACTACAGAATAAGTATGGCTCATTGTACGGAAAAGACAATGTCATCCTAAGTGGCACCCACACTCACTCGGGGCCAGCGGGCTATTTCCAGTATACCGTGTTTGTCATCGCCAGTGAAGGATTCAGCAATCGAACTTTTGAATACATGGTCACTGGCATTGTGAAGGTAGGCCCAGAGCCCCTGGTGGAGCTGCTCCTTCCCCACCTGCAAGTGCTTAGGAGTGGCTGGCTGTGATATGGAGGGAGTCCTCATGGGATCGCGGGGTGAGCATCCTTGCCTTGGGCCCTAAGGCAGTGACTCAGCAGGAGAGGACAGCTCGCCGCAGGAAGCCTCATGCAATTGTCTAAAGGGGCACCTACGACCTTTATAACTCAGAGGGCCCCATCTGGTTGTTCTCTGGGCAAAGTCCAGTAAAAGGAACTCATCAGGGAACCAAAAGAAATGACAAATAATTGCCTCCTATTTTCCAAATGGCGTGATAGGGGATCCTGTTGATAAATCCACCCTCATTGCTCATGTCCTCAATGGTAGTGGTAGACAGCACGGTACCCCCTCCTGGGACATGCACATCCCCCTCCCATTCCCGGTTTTGGTGCCTCTTACTCCTCTATCCCCATCTCCCAGCTTACTGTTTCCTTACATGGGATCCTGTCTTTTTTTTTTTCTTTTTAGCAAAGATTTTACTTACTTACTCACGAGAGACACACAGAGAAAGGCAGAGACACAGGCAGAGGGAGAAGCAGGCTCCCTGCAAGGAGCCTGATGCAGGACTCGATCCCAGGACCCTGGGGTCATGCCCTGACCTACCAAAGGCAGATACTCAACCGCTGAGCCCCCCAGGCATCCCTACATGGGGTCCTTTCTAATGTTCCTTCATGTCTTTGCTTCTAGATGTAGTCTCTCTCTTCTTTTTCTCATGAAGCCAGACCCCAAGCCCAGTGATCTAGTTGGCAAGGCAGACATGTCTTCCCAGCAATGTTTTCCAGAATCTGGCTGGCAGTTCATGACTGGCTGCATGAAATATTTTCATGGGTTGCAATAAGCATTGAAAAAAACAGAACCAAAGTCAAACAGATAAGGGACTATCGTGATACAACACACGTAGCGAGGGTGTATGTAGTTTGTCTTGTGCCCTCTTGTTTCAGCACACCTACGTCAATGCGTATTAAGTGGTGATGAAAGGTGTATTGCCTGCTGTGGTTTTGTGTTAGAAAAGTTCAAAAACCTTTGCCTCAGAGGGTGGGGGGAAGGAGTGGGTATGGTGGAGGGACCACCTACATGTAAACAAGTTCTGGTCCTGTGTTGGGGAGTTGCTTCCAGGTCACCCGATGGGGCGGATGGTGCCAGACACAGTGGCCTGGAGACATCCAGGAGCCTGTGGGCGCGAGCTTCCCGGGTCATGACAATGCCGTGTCTCAGCCCCGAGGCCATCTGCACACCCCCAGGGTGACGTTGGCTCATCCAGGGACTCAGGCTCTCGTCCCGTAGCAAGGGCAGCTGGGCGACAAAGGAAATCGTCCACAGCGCCCTTCTGTTCGCGTGGACCAAGTCCTCGCCCCAGCAGCGTTGCTAAGTTCACAACTCGCTCTCTCTCTCTCTGACCCACAGAGCATTGAGATGGCGCACAAAAACATGAAACCAGGCAAGATCTTCATCAACAAAGGAACTGTGGAAGGTGCACAGATCAACCGAAGCCCCTATTCTTACCTTCAGAATCCGGAGTCAGAGCGAGCCAGGTGAGGGCGATTGTCAGAGTAAGCTCCTGTGTTTCCGTCAGCGATTAGTCACAAAAGTGAAGAACGCATTCGGTGAGGAATACGGCGGGATCCTGACGGAGCGGTAAAGCCAACATAAATGTCAAACACGCTCATTATCCAAGAGCAGAAGAAGTAAGATGTGCACACGCGGGCACGCACACCCTGCACACAAGGCTGCCCGCTGCCGGCTGCGAATGGTGGAAGGCCTCCCAGCTGTGGAATCGGGGATGACTCTGGTCTCAGCTCAGCTTTGTCACTTCCTAGTCGTGTGACCTTTGGTGACTGGCTTATAGTGACTCATTGGTTTTCAGCCTCTTCTGTACAGCAGAGATGCAAGCGTGCACAAGGTGTAGTTGTTAAATTAACGAGTAGCTCTTTTTACTGTGTTATTCAGAGGACATCGTCTCTGTCCAGGAGGATGTGGCAAGAGAGAGAGGACGTTAAAGGGTAAAGAAACTGGAATGGAGAGCAAAAAATAAAACTAGCTTAATTGAATGGAACAACTAAGGGAGATAGTTCTTTTGTGTTTTTCTTTCTTTTTCTTTTCTTTTTTTTTTTTTTTAAAGGGCTGAACCAGGTTTGCGACAGAAGAGAAGCACGGGGCCGCTATGGCAAAGTAAAAGAATATTTCTGTTTCCACTTGACCACTTGACATTTTACATTCATCTGCATATTTTCCAATAGATTTTAAAGGAGTTGATTTTTAGATAACATCGTCCGATTTCCCCTGAAAGGACATGAAAGAGCCACTTATAGCTGCAGGTCATAAGTGTTTTTTGATTTTGTCTATTCCCTGTTATTTTTAAGAGATTCCATTAAATTTTGATATGAGTAGAAATTTCAAAGACAAATCCTTTTTGTAAGAAAAACTAGATTGTGTATATTATGGAGAGATGTAGATTCCATCCCCAGTTAGCTGGCCGGATGCCCCTGACTCTGACAGCGTTGGCAAACCATTTCTTTAGCTGAGGAACGAGGTCTTGGATGTGGTTTGTCAGACACTACGTAGCAGACCAGAGTGCTTCACTTACTGAAAGGTGTTTTGGTTTTTGTGTCAACTTCTGCTGTTGGCCGTACAACAGGGCTAAGCCCTCACATAGAAGTGACTGAGTTTCTTTGTTTTGCTGACCAGGTATTCTTCAAATACTGACAAAGAAATGGTCGTCCTAAAAATGGAAGATTTGGATGGAGCTGAGCTGGGCCTTATAAGGTACTCTGTTTCCTTATTATTTTTTTTTTTATTCTGTCTGGGTCATTTTCCTTAATCACAGAGGAGGAGTGATGGAAGGAAGAGACTGGAATAGTAATAGCAGAGGCTGAGGATACATTGAGTGGTTGAAAGTCCAGGGAATCAGGCCCTTCCGGGATCCGGCCATGAACCCTGGGACAAGGTTCTCAGCTTCCCAGGGCTCAGTCCCTCACCTGGAAAACAGGGCGAGTTAAAGGATGATGTAAATGAGGGATCTGGGTGGAGAAGGGTAACATAGCAACTGGCATATGACGTAAGGATTCAGTTGATACCAGTGCTTATCATTCTATCAAGATGTCCTATATGGAACTTCCATGATGGTGGAACACTATCTCTTGGTAAATTTAGAAAATGCTCTGACCAACCAGGCAAGTGATTATGGGTTCAAGACAACTTGCCTGTGTTTCCTAAAAGAAATAAGTTAAATCGAATGTAGGACAATGCTAATGAGTGATGGAAGCAGAATCAAGGCCACCTCAAGGAGGCAGATGAGGTAAAATTACAGCTTGGCACGGATTTTAGTTCAGTTTTATATGTAAGAAAGTGTGGATTTTGTTTTCTTCAAAAAGAAGGCATTTGTATTCATGTGTGAAATTTGTCCTGCAATTAGACTGACTCAGGAGTTGCCTGAATGGGGAACAGGGCCAGACGCCCTGATGTGTGGACTTCCAGGTGATGCAGGATGCCCAAAGGAAGCATAAGATGGTGTGTGGGCACTGCAGTTGAGTGGCTTGGGTTCACTCTAGGTTCTCATCATGATGAGCTGCACGACTTTGGCCAAGTTACTTAACTGCTCTATGTCTCGATTTTCTTACTTTAAATGTGGCGAGTCGATAATAAGTATTAGTAAAGGCGGAAGGCCTATGAGATAGAATGATGAAGTCCTCATATGAAAGTTTCTATGGAAGTCAAATTTATCGTTAATTAAAAGTAATAAAAGGTGAATGAAAACATTAAGGACTCTGACTAGGGCTGGCCCTATAACTAGATGGAGGACAGCACGGTGGTGAGGTGTTCTGGTGTTAGGCGTAGGTTTTAGGACTTGAGTTCAAGCCCTGCCATGCAGTAACCCTGCGGCCTGGGGAAAGTAACTTACCTATTTATACCTCAACTATTCCATTTGAAAATGGGGATAATGATACCTCATAGGATTAGTTCAAGATGAAAAACCACCATTATTGGCTTCCCAGAGTGCTTGACATTCTTAACATTGGAGTTACGTCTTTGGGTTCCAAGCAAGGTCACTAAAAACTCCCTGATAAAATAAACTTTATTATATGGGTTGACAAAATAAGAGTCATTCTTTCATCAGTGATTAATTCATCTACTGATTAGTTGCCACCTGGTGTTTCACTCAAGCGACTTTCTCAATGTCAGACACTCAGCTGTGTGCTGGGGATATGTTGTGATGAATAAGGCATGATCCCCATCTTGAAGGGTCTTACAGACTCGTGGGGTGACTGAGGCAGGGGAAGGAGACAGACAGACAAGTGATCACAGCATAAATCTGATGGCCAACAGGGCTACCACCTGGGCATAAATAAATGCTGTGGGAATTTGGAGGTGGTGGCACTGATGCTTGAGAGCGTTGTGGAAGGATTCATAGAGAAAATGATGTTTGAACTGGATCTGAAGGAGCCTGGGGGATTTCTCATGGAGCCAGGAAAATACAGTGAAGCAGTGAGGCCAGAGTATGGGCTACTGTCAGGGAGGAGGTGAGGGAGGAATCTGAAAGGTGAGCTAGTTCCAGATTGCTGGTCACTTTGGTGGGAAATTTGGTTGGAAACGGTCAGGATACAAGCAGGTATCTACGACTAGTTAGAAAATTCCACATTGGTTGGGCAAAGAAGGAGCCTTTCCCCTTAGAGTTTCTACTTAACTCTTGACTGGATGACTGAGACCATTCACGATTCCCTTTTATTAGTTTCCGAACCATTTAGCAATGCCAACGGCAAATGAAAAAATGCCGTCCTTTTGCCAGATGTTCTTTGCTTCCTGGCATATGACTATATAATGGGTCTAGAAGTCCCAGGGTCAACTGTCAAGGTTGTAACAGCTCTCCTCCATCTGCTGTGCTTAACACCCTGAAATAACTTTCCATTGTTTTTGTAGCTGCCATATGTTAGCCTTGATGTAATTGCGCCTGCACTCGCCTCTTGTTGCATAGTGGTAATTGCTCCTTGAATGCATTAAAAATGATCCAAAACATAAAGTCAAACCTGGGCTGCTAAGTAACTCAGCCCCCGTATGTAGGCGTCTGCTATTACACAGAATCTCAAGGTAGGAGGAGTCTGAAAGCACAAAGTCTCAGACTTGCGGAGCATGGATATCACCTAGTTCAAAGCTCAGCTACAGCCTAGGAAGGTGATATGACCTGTCCAATGTCATGGCCAAGACTGTTCTCTTTCCCCCCAAAATCATATTGAAGTCCACAACTGATCCTTGCCTACTTTCATTTTTGTTCTCATGTCTTCATTCAGCAAATCTGCACTGGATACCTACTATGTGCCATGCAGTGCTCCCCAGTCCTTGGAATGGTACAGTTCCTGGCCGTGAAATCAGGAATCCAATACCTTGGAACCAAACACCCAAGCAAATCCCTTGAGCTCTCGGAGACTCAACCTCCATATTTCTCAAATGTGGATTTACTATCTCAGAAACTCAATCTCCATATTTCTCAAGTGTGGATTTACTATCATCTCTCCACAGATTATTATTCATTCATTCATTTATTAAATATTGTAGAGTATATATGTCCCGGGCTGAGCTAGTACTGTAGATACACCGATGAGCAAAAATAGATGGAGTTGTTGCCTTTATAGGATTTATTATTTCCTGGTAGAGACAGAAGGTATCCAAATAGTATACAAATAATTATAATTGGGTTATAATTGTATAATCGTATGATTATAGTGGGATTAAGTGCTATGAAAGGAAGGTATGTGTAGCTGCCTTAAAGGGACTTGACCTGCTCGGGGAGACTGGGAACAGCTTCCCTAAGGGAATGACAATGGAGCTAAAAACCAAAGGAAGGGTGAAAATTAACTGGCAGAAAAGGGGTGGGTGCTGGAACATCTAATACAGCTGAGAGACGTTTAACCTGGATGGAGAAGCATGTTCAAAGGTCCGGTGGCCCATCTGAGGGGCCGATAGAAGGTCTGTGTGGCTGGGGTACAGAGGAGGCTGTGTGGGTGGCAGTGAGCAGTGGAGATTAGGTCTCTGATAAAGATTTTGGTCTTTAGACCATGGGGAGTGGAAAATCATTCACATGTTTTAAACCGGGGGTTAGAGGCTCTTGATGGGTCAAGAAGGGTGAGGACTTGAAGACTGGAATAGACTCATGTGCGTGAAACTAGTCCACGGGTCCCTAAGTCCTCTACGGCTGCTGGTGTTGACCTATCTATGCCAGGAAGGGCTCTAGGCCTTGTTGCCCGACCCTGTCTCATGCAGAAACAGTAAAGGACTGTGGAGACTGGCTGTGGAGACCATGTGTGGGGGGTTCCCGGCTTCTGAGCCCAAATGAAAGCTGTGTGGCATTCACACGAGTCACTCTGGGGGGCTCTGGAAAGCACTTCAGAGCAGGAGTCTGTCTGCCAACTGGGACCATGACACCGGGTCTTGAGAGAGCCATCCTGGGGTGACCAGAGGAAGCGCTGAGGGGGAGCCAGCAGGGCTCCAGAGGTCCGGGCCGAGGGCCAGGCCTCAGGGCAGGTGCAGGTGCCCTGGGGGCGCTCTGGTTGGTGGCGAGCCTGTGGGCTGCACAGGCCCGTGTCCCCCCCCCCCCCCGTCTGCCCCGGACCCCCCGGCCTGAGGTAGAAGGAGGGCCTGCCTTCTGCTTTGTTCAACGCCAAGTCTCCTGCTCCGAGGGGGGTGTGCGAAGGGTCCTCTGGGGTGCTTCCCAGATAGATGGGTGCAGGTGGCGCCGACCTGGGGCTCGGCCTGGGCCGTGGCGTGTGGGCCTCCCCGCCAGCCGTACCCCACACTGTCTCGGGCCTCGGGTGCTTCCCTCAGTGTCCCCGGGCGCCCCTCCCGGCCTTCTCCTCCGTCGTCCCCTCCGTGTCCCGGGCTCCCTAATTGTCCTCCCGAGTTGCTCCCTCCCGGGGAGCTGCCTCCTCCTGCACTAAGTCCCGCTGCTCCTCGGATCTGGGCCCAGTGCCTGATGTGGGACCGTGGGATCGAGTCCTGCGTCAGGCCCAGCACTGGTGCGGCTCTCTGCTCTGCCTTCTCCTCTCTCTCTCTCTCTCTCTCTCATAAATAAGTCGATCTCTTAAAAAACAAAGTTTACAAGGTTTAAAAACCAAAGCCGTAAAACCAGTTGTCCTAACTGGCAGAAGGCATTGGACTTGGGTTTCTGGAATGTTCTTAACCTGAAGAGATTTGAGAGGCTATTAGTTTTTTCTCTCCAAGTATACTTTTTTTGTTTTTTTGTTTTTAGTATAAAAATGATACATACTTACCATGGAAAAATGAAAAAAAATATAAGCAAGTAGAAAGATAGAAAAATTAACTCCAAGCTTTACTTTTCTCAAAGTCAATACTCAGGTACATTGTCTGCTGCCCAATTCCCACTGTAGGACATATGATAATAAAAAATAAGTGTGTCCAAAAGGTCATTCTGCAAAAGTAGATACTTGGTTCCACTCACTCTGGGCACTAGAAGCTTTAAAATACTCAGAAAAAAAATACTCTGAGAAATACTAACAGTGTTTCTCCACATGCTAGTGTGTGTGTGTGTGCATGTTTTGTAGTGATTCTCTTTACATCTAATAATGATTTTTTTTTTTTTGGTCTTAAAATCTCTGTATTCTCATGCTAGCATAACTAACTCAGCTTTCTGCAGGTTAGAATTTGCAATATATTTGTTATGTTTTTCTATCATTTTCTTTCAACTTTTATTTGCTCTTATGTTTTAGACGTGTCCCTTATCATATAGCTGTATTTATGTATTTATTTATTTATGT